TTGACATACTTTAAACCATTTCTGAATTTAAATAAATGTACATTTGAATTTCAAGTTCAAGTCCAGTTTATTGTCATTCTCATCACATGTGGTGCATGAGGTGGAACGAAATTATATATGCAGGGTCCCAGTTACACCCAAAAGTTAAAAAAAATATATATAAAGCATAAAAAGAAACAGTGTATAACTAAGATATACACTAAAAACTAATAATGTAAAACAATACGGCATATTTAAATGCAGTGTTAATAAGATCAATGACCACTTTAGGATTAAAATCTACTTTAACAAAACTTACAGATTAAAATTCAATTGCAGTATGCAGGTAGTTTTTAAACTTCTCAGTCAAATAATGTTTTTAAATCTGTCAATTTTGATAATCTATAAACTCTCATGTTGATTTTTCAAGCAAAACACAAAATGATTAATGTTTCCAACTAAACCAAAACCTTTATTTTAATTTTCTTTGCTTCGGTGGTGTCTGTTTAGAAATGTTTAGGTATCCGTCCATCCATTATCTGTACCTGTTTTTTTCCTTTCCGGGTCACTGGTGCCCATATCCAACCATCACTGTGGGAGAGGCGGGTTGTTATGATTTCATGATCTGTTTTAAACTGAAGTGGGCTGAAGGAGGTCTGTGTGTTCTGCAGGAGGTGGATTTGATCAGGAGCATCCAGGCTCTCCTGAAGAGAACTACAGCTCAGGTCATCATGCAGATCAAGTGAGTGGAGAAACACTTGAATCAATATAAAACTCTGCGCTTTTGGAGAATGGTTTTCTCACAGCTTCACATTTGTGTGTCAGGATGAACCGAGAGGCCCAGCAGACTTTAGAGATGGACTGGTCTGATAAGGTCCAGGCCTACAGCTTCGATGACCACAGTGGGAGACACGGTAACTCGAGCCCAGACACACAGCGGCACCCCAGCTCAGCCACCTTGCAGGAGCAGTGAGTCTGTGCGGAATCAAATAAAATCAAAACTCGTTGTCCCAGCACTGAGGTTCTGGTTCTATCTGCTGCAGGGTTTGCACCCCGTCGTCGTGGACGAAGTTTACGCAGGACAACCTGTCCAAGGCCATGGAGGAGGAGCAGGCCACCAACAGCCTCAGGTCTGCGCTGCCTCACAGAGAGCTGCAAGCCGACTGTTTTATACTGACTGTTTCCCGTGTGTCAGGATGTTTGTGGAGCGAATGCTGCAGGACACCACCGATGATCTGAGAGACCAGTGCTCCATCGTGGACGCAGCCTTCAGCCAGCGCTGTGAGGAACTCATCGAGGCCAAGACCGAGCTGGAGATGAAACTGGCTCAGGTAGTCAGGCTGACTCAGAGAACCAGGCTGACTGATGAACGATAAATGACTGTTTCATCATGTCTGCAGATTTTGGAGCAAATTGGAGCCCAGGAGAAAAACATTGTGGCTCTGCAGCAGGCCATCCACAACAAAGAGGCTCCGCTGAGAGTGGCCCAGTCCAGGCTTTACCTCCGCTCCCTCAGGCCCAACATGGAGCTCTGCAGGGATCCACCCCAGCTCAGGTCCACACACACTAAACACAAAACCATCTCTGTCCGTGTCCATGTTCTCACCGGGGCTTGTGCTTGCAGTTTGGAAGGAGAGGCGAGGCAGATCGACGCCACCACGGCGTCTCTGAGCCAGAAGCTGAGCGAAGCCAGGAGCTCCCTGTCCCACCTGGAGGAGTCCAGGATGGCACTTGAGAAGGACATAAACTGTAAAACCCACTCGCTGTTTATCGACAGGGAGAAGTGCATGTCGCACCGTAAACGATACCCCGCAATCTCGGTACTGACCGGCTACTAAACGTGACAATTTGAGTGTTTGTTGAGCACATTGTAGCTCGGTTATTTTGGTAAATTTCACATTTGAGACCGTTTTTAGCTCTTTGCTGTGTTTTGCTTTCATCGCTGTTGTAAACAAGAACGCCTGAAATAATAGAGAACATTGTAAGAGCTCTATGTTTTCCTTGACATCACCCATAAAAATACATTTTTCTTATGTCAGCCTTTTGTTTTATGCCAACATCAACTGTGGAGTTACAACGCAGACTACATGGAGCCTTAAAAGAAGGAAATGAGCAAACTGTGTTGGGGTTCTTCAATGAGAACATCTGAGCCTGTTTGTGTGATGGGATCGAGTGACACATGTCCATTTTGAGCTCTTTTCCATCTGAACATAAAACAATGTGGATAAGTCGCATGAAGCTGTTATGGAACTGATTGTTTTTCAGACTATTTACAATTTACACACCTGCTGTCATTTGGAGTGAAGGAAGTAGCAGCATCTACAAAAGTCGAAGCTAGCAGCACGTTCAATTAAAATACCCTTGTTCTATATTTTTCCAAATGATTTTTCTCGAAAATTATTTATTTTCATCTGTATAATATCCTATCTTTACAGCTGATTTTTTTAGGCTATTTGTTTTGTTAATATCCATTTGGTGATACAAGAAATTTTATATCTTCCTTTCTTTGAAATACCTTTTTTAAATATCATCTTAAACTGATTTGCTTACAAAAGCAGTAAAAGCTTAATAAAAACAATAGTGGGGTATTGTTTTTTTTGTTTTTTTTGTGTGGTTCGGGCCTTTAACTACAGTTAATTTGATCGGGTCGGGTTCGGAAAAAAATGGCTAAAAATGTTGGGTCGGATATTTAGGCCTGAATGCAACTCTTAGCCAAAGCTCGTATCTAAACATCAATATCAGCAGGACACACTGGACACAGTGCAACTTAAAGAAAATTCGATGCTGAGACAAATTTTCACCACATTTTTCAACTAAACAAATGCAGAACTGCACGTTGTGTAAAACATTTCACAACATTTTAATTTATGCACTTTTAACAACGTCACTGAGCAACTGAACCACTGTGGGCAAACTCTGCAGGAACCATAGCGTCCACTTTCTAAATCATCTCTCCAGCCAGATCACATGCTTCACACTTTTTTCATCACTGTTTTTAAACCACAGAATGCACACCGAAGTGTTTGCACTCACCTCTCAGTGTCTTGTCTTGTTTCGTTATGACTCAGACGAGCACGTCAAGCCACACTGCCTCAGACCACAATGTTAACAAGAATCAGGTGTTCCTGTTTCTGATGGAGCATTTGACACAAGCATCATGGTGGTAAACGAAGGGACTCTCCCACAGTTCATTAAGTGTTTATTCTACTTTTTTAATTTTAATATGTGTATTATGTAGGTGAGAATGAGTCTCTTTGTGCTTTTAGACCAATCCAGGATACATCCTGTTTTTTTGTTTTCTCTTAAATGCACCGTTTCTTTGGCAGCAGAAAATGAAACAGCACTAATCATGCATGTTGTTTTTGTTGGCAAATGTTATAAATTTAAATCTTATCATGATCTTAAAGTTTCAAACGGTTATGGACAGATTCTTTTCTGTCTTGTGAGACTTCCAGGTGACAAATTCACTTTATTTAATGATGATAAATTTAAATAACTAACTCAAACATTGACACAGAGTCTGCACACTTGATCACATTTTTAGTGCACTTTAATGTTTCTTTGTGTTTCATGGTTCTCTAATGCGTGTGCAAAATAAATAAAGTTTTAACTCCAGATGCAGAAATAAGCAGATCATACTTTGTCCCCCAGAGGGTGCACATCTACTGCAGTTTCTTTAAAACAACCTGTCCTGCTTTACATCAGCAGCATGAGGTCTGAGCTTACAGCTAAATGCAAAATGTCATTATTTCAGTGGAAAATGCTGCAAAAATATTTAGTTTATCTGTTGGAATGATAAGTGCAAAGGTTTTTAAAGGCAGCCATCCATTAATAACAACATGTTTAGAAATTCATATTCTTTAGGTTTTGCTTGTAAGTACCTAAAATTACAACAACAACAAAAAAATCTTATTAATTAAATATTTAAAATAATAAAAGTAAAATCCTGTGATTTATACAAGTTGTTAGTACAAGTAAAGAAAATGCAAGACTCTGCTAACTTTTTGTAGCACAAGAATTATATGTTTTCCTTTTCTTATGATTTAGATAAATTACAGAGTTAATAAAAAATGTCATTGAAAGTTATTGAGAGGATTTCCTCCTTTTAAAGTCCTCACTGAGCAGCAACCGATGGTCTGGATTCTTAGAGCTTTCTTCAAGTTAGGAGTTGCCACGACTGAGGATGTTGCAAAACTCGGCTTCATGCACACACTTGAGACGTGCAGTTTAGTTCTTACTGCAGACCACAAATTATTCACCTTCAGCTGAGCTCAGTTCAGTGCCAGGGCTGTGAGTGCTTTTATACCATCGAAAAGCAAAGTGGACAATAATGTATCTGTGCGTGCATGTGCCCATCTGTTACAGAAAACATACGTACAGATTTTAATGAAACTCTTTAAAAGGTGTACCATGTTTTTCAGACTATAAGGCGCACTTAAAATCCTTTATTTTTCTCAAAA